TTACTAGGTGAGTCCCATCAAATGGCCCAGAAGGAGGGTTTCCTAGGCAGCCAGGAAACAGCACAACCATGACTGCACGTCGAGACTTGACATCAGGCTATGTAGCTTCCATGCAGAAACAGAACAGAGGAAAGGCCAGATCGTTCCTCTCCTCAGCACCCAGGATGTGTAAAACTCTGCTAGGTGCAGACAGACACACAACAGACAGTAGGGTCCCCGTCCCCGTGTTTGTGTGAGAAAGAAGGCATCATCATGGGAGATATCAAATGGTATCCCTGGAAGGCACCCCCAAAATTCTGGCTCTTTCCGCTGATCCCTGCAATGCAAAAGTTTTACATGGCAATATCAAATAATGGCACAATGCAATATATGACAACTACCAGTAGGAATGACTAATGTTTTTCAGAGCACTTCTTGTACCAGGACCATTGCTAAGTGCTTCAAATGATCTCATTTAAAGCTCAATATAATCCTATGAGATGGGTACTCTTATCATGGACATTTCACGTGAGGAGATGGGGACCGCTCCTGGGAGGTCCCTTCTAGTATAGCAAGGAATCACACCAGGCAGTCTGACCCAGAATCATTCTGCCAAGAGCTGACATGCTTTGAGTTCAACACAGGGTTGGTCTGGGAATGCATGCAGGATCTTAGCTCAGAAGCTCAGGAAAAAGGGCATTCTAAAAAAGTGAGAGCCCACACTCAGCTGGATTTCCTGTGAACGCTATCTGATAAGGACACAGCCTCTGACTGCCTCTGCCTACTCTCAGTCAACTGGATTGGTGGGAGAGCCGGACACAAGCCCAGGGCGCAGGGCATCCTCATCCTCAGCCTTACCCTGCTCCAAGCCAATGCAGGGCTGAAATTCCAAACAGCAGCACACCAGGGCAAGCCACCACCTCCACCACCACCCCCGCCATGTTGGCGGAGCACATGCTACAGGCTAGGAATCAGAAGAAACATGGATAACACGGCTTTTCTGGAAACTTCCCGAGCAATCTGAAGAGAGGGCCCCCTTTAAACGAGAGAAGCGGGTTACTGTGCGCAGACCCTGGGTAATGACTGCGTATCATAAATAGAATATGGCATCTCAGAGCTTCTTTAAAGCGATTTCCTTTTGTTCAACTAATTTAATTTACCAAATGCTCCTGGGAAAAGGGAGGGGGGGCCAAGATGCTGACTCCACATTTCCTGAAAAAAATCAACGTTTTTCTTTTGAAACTGCTCTCCAAGAAATCACAGCTGACTGTTGTCGGCTGGCTCCCTCCAACTCCACCTCTGTCAAAATTCTGCCCCAGCAGGTGCAAGAAAGAATGGATGCAGAACTTGAGTGAATACCCACATCTGTTTTTGGAAAAAGGGAACAGAAGCAGCACAGAAGGAAGTAAAAGAGATAATTGCTGGCTTGGACCACAATCCATTTCACTTGTGGGCATCGGGCCAGCTTGCGGCAGGCGGAACAGCGGCCCATCTTATTGGAATTCGGGGCGGGCCTCCACCCTTGTCCGGAGACAGCTGTAGACCAGCGGCCCGTGGCGTCCCAGACAGGCGCCGAGTGTTGACAGCGAACGCTGACGCGCACAGAAGCGGCTTCGTCTGCTTCCACTGCACCCCTGCCTGGTGGAATGACAGTCAATCTCCAATTCCAGATGACAAGAACTGGATAAAAACTTAAAACAAATGGTGACCTTTCAAAAGATTAATTTGTTTACCAACACAATGCTCCCTCTTTGTCATCTGAGATGGGGGTGACCTTCACTTTTCCATATCTAGGCTGAAGGATGCTGACTATAGTCATCTGTTAAGTTCACTCCATCTCAGCAATTATTCCCTTTTTTATTTTTAGTGACAAGAAGGGCTTATTAATTCACTCTGCTTCTTGTTATGGTTTATAAATGCAACAAGCACATTCTGAATTACTGCAGTGTAACATCAATTTGTTTAAATCTAATTCTGCTATCGTTGCCAAATTATGTTGTGACTGTAATTGTGGCCATATGCATGGGCTTAAAACACAATCATGTTTTGAAATTGTCCTTTTTCTCCACCCCCACCCACCCCCACTCCTTCTTCTTGCGCCTCTTCTAATCATTTGACATGAACACGACTGCCTCACTTTCCATGACTTTATCATTTCAGAAATGACTATGCTTTCAGTGAGACAGAGATGACTATGTATACCCCAAGTGAAACAGTAAAGAACGAAACTATGATTTGTGAAGTGTGGTCGCTACCCAACTAAGTTTGTGGAAAACACTGCATAACATATGACTCATAAAATCTAGAAATCATAATGGTATTAAATTCAACCTCATGAATAAATAAAAGATTCTAAGTTTACATTGCATTATATATTTATTTATTTGGAAAGTGGGACCAAAGAACTGGTATAATTCTACAGCAACTCATTTCTTGCCAAAAAGAAAAATGTTTTTATGATTTTTTTCTAGGTCATAACACTTATAATCAGAGTTATTTGTGCAGCAATTCAAAGCAATGTTTTGTTCGGCTATTTTGTTATGCATTCATAATCGTTCTTTTAAAATCCATGCTAACAGATCCATGTTTCAAGCCTTTTAAGAAACACTTTTTATTTAAAACAAATAAATCAAAGTCAAATTTTCTGTGGATCTTGTAACGTGCTGTGTTACTAAGCCTAGCTGCAACTAGATGTGGTGAGCCAATGTGAATGGCCCAGGGATTCCCGTCTCCTCACCCCATGAGGATCCACTCACATGCAAGTGAGAGGGAGGTTTGTTACTCAGTGGCAGCTTTAAGATATTGACAAAATCGCCAGGGAGTTCCCCATTAATACCTTTTTGTACATTCATTTTACATAACAGAGTTACAGAGTTTTGTGTCATGAATGTTTAGGGTTCTATGTGCTTTCCATACACTAAATTCCTTGCACCAGCCCTCATTATCAGGAAGGATGCGTCTTCACAAGATGGAGAGAATTCCAGTTTCTAGGACTGAATAATGTCAACTGGATACATATTCAAATCTGCACTGGCAAGAATGCCTAAGATTATTTATAGGCTTTTGACAAGCTGATTGAGTTTCATAAGAAATAAGGAAACACATGGCCCTCGGCAGCCAAATAATAATCCCCTTTGAGTGTTTGGAGTAGTTCTAAAACGATTAGCCTTGATGCTGCTTTGCTAATTAACTATACATCACAATGCTAGACACATGGCTCTAGTTTGGGTAAGTGCTTTTAAACCCATTTTTGTAAGTGGTAAATCACAACTTCAATTATTCACAAATACGCTACATGATTGATTAAAACCAAATACCTGAATACTTCTCTCACAGGACTTTGAGCACAATGCTTCTGTTTTAGATATTCAAAATGAAAAATACTGTTTTTCAGTTAGTACCATCATATATCAACGTCAAATGATAGGGTCAGCTTACTACTTTCATCGAAAGGCCAATAGTTTGAGCAAATACACATAATGCTCAAATAATTGCTCTGGTGTAGATTTTTATGGGATCAAGTTTTATGAAAAAACGAATCTTTAATATAGTAAATGATTGTGCATTAGCTATATGTCATAAAAGCGAAAGTGCTTTCCCAAATCCTTTTTGCTCAAAGTACATAAACACAGTATCAAGGCACGCATTCTGTTTGGAAATTAGAACAAATACCAGCAATGACTAAAAACCTGCCGCAAATTTTGAACTCCCCATTAATTCAAGTCTGAATCTTCATACAGATTCGTAAGGCAAAGCATAATCCTCTCTAAAGAGGTAAGGCTTTTAAACTTCAATGATCATCAGAAAAAGTTTGCATGAAGGCCACAGTTGCCCTGGGCTAGAGTCCTGGCGCTCCTCCAGTTAAGACAATATTAACTCTGGGTTGAGGAGGAAAACCAGCAACAACAAAGAGAAATCTGCTTCTGTCTGTGCAACCAGAAAAATAAGATTTTTATTTCAAGGGCTTTGGGCTCATGGGAAGCAGATAAAAACCCTTTCACATTATTCACAGTGACATTTTAAGTAAAGGTTCAGCGGGAATAAAAATATCTAACTTTCGGGTTATTTCTTGGGCTATAAAAGTATTTCTATGATAAAGTGCTCTTAAACCAAACCTGTTAGAATGACATAAAGCACAGATAAAGAAACTGAAAATCTATTTCAGAGTTATATGAACGCAGTAGGCAGTTCACAATGTCTACATAGGAAATCTAGAAAATTAATCTACGAGATGATTATGCTAGTTAGAAATGGCATTGTGATGTAATCCTGAAATTAATCTTGCTTTTCATTTTGATTTCACCAGTGCATACATTTCAGAGCTTTTGAGAGAAGTCAAAGGTTAAAAACGTATTTAAAAATGTAGAGATGCCACCTCAGTAATTGTTTTTAGCATTAGAAATGATCTCAAATAATTTCCCAGTTACAATGAAGCATTCCTCTTCATTCTAAGAAAATCCCACAGCACAGTGGGACACACTGACAGCAAGTTCATGGCAAAAACAGACACAGACTCGAGCTCCCTTCACGCAGGTCCACGTTGGAGTGTTTTTCCCTCTCATTATTTTGCTGACATAAAGGATTAGTCCCTGTTTGCTTCAGATTTAGAATAATATTCTTAAATATTTGCATATGGTATGAGTACACAGCACTGAAGCAGACAGCACTGATTCTTCTAGTGGTAAACCTACTATCAAATAAAATATTTAAAATTTCTCTATTAATTCTTTTTGTCTGTAAATTATTTCCTCCTTGTTAAAATTATGGTAATAGATTAGGAATGTCAAATAAATACAGAAATGTGAATGAGCTACAAATAGTTCTTTTAAAATAGGTTTACATTTTCTTAATCATTTCTAATTATAAACAGAATGGAAGCCACTTGGTTCACCCCCCCCCCCCAGAATTCCAAAGACAAAAAGATCACAGCCTTACTTAAAATCTACAAGATAGCTTGCACTGCTAATAAATGACTAATTCTTACAAAACATCAAGAGCTCGTTAAAGAGCTCATTACTTACACGGGCTTTTCTCTGGTTAATATGTGGCAAACTGATTCCATAGCTGGCCTTTACAGCAGCTCTGTGGTGGCTGTTTTCTGGATCTTGCATGATTTTTACATTCAAGCCTATCTTTTGCTGAAACAAAGAAACAATGCAACTTTCATGCCGATGAACAGAAATGCTTGCTAACATTTGATATCCTTAAAGGAGTATAAAGTTCTTTGAAAATAATTATTTTAATGTCATCACTGGAAACAAATGTATTTGGATCTTTTATTTCGAATGCTAATCAGTCCCTTTTATTCACAGAAAAGGAACTTTCTGCAGATTTTACTTGAGATTCGATTGCTCACACAAAGTACCCTCAGGCACCAAATATTTTCTCAGAAATCATGCTAGAAACCAACCGAAGTGGACAAAGGACTAGATACCTGGTCTTGATTTATTTTTAGCTTTCCAGGTCAAGGATTTCATCAATGAGGTCTGTACTACAAATATACAAGTAGAGGGCTCCCTCGGTCTGCCGATATGGCCACACTCCTCCAGGGACGTTTCCAGGTAAATCTCCGTGGAAACCTGGTAAATTTACCACAACAAATGTATCTACTCCTGCACAGTGATTTGGCTATTTATAATGTGTACTCTCATTAGAAAAAATAAAAGCACCTTGTTCAAACCACTTACTCCTTAATTTAAAAGGATTCAAATTAGTTACTGTTAAGATGCTTAGAAACACATCTCAAGAGTGGCCAGCACAGAGGTGGGGAAGGGGACTCTGGGTGGGTGTCAGGACACCTTGGTGCCAGCTCTACCATGGACTGCTGAGTAGCCTTGGGTAAGTCCCTTCACCTCTCTGAAAGTCAGCTTCTTTATTTGTAAAATACGGTGGCTAGACTTGGAGGGCCCTTTGAGGGACTCTCCCCAAGCTCTGGCATTCTAGGATTTGAGGCCAAAAGATAACTTGGCACTTAGTGAATAAGACATTACCAAAAACTTTTGAAGCTTTTGTGACTTTTTTACCATGAAATTCACTGCTTCGAGGTGTGTGATTCGGGGATCTTAGTGTGTTCACAGCCATCACCTCTATGTAATCCCAGAAACATTTTCATCACCCCAAAATGAGACCTTGTACTCACTAGCAATCACCCCGCCTATTCTCTCTTCCCCCCAGGCCCAGGCAACCACTCATGTGCTCTCAGTCTCTACTGATGTGTAAACTGAATAATATAATATGTGATTATTTTTAAAGAAGGTTAGAAGTATGGTGAGCAACTTAAGAATCTGATTTCCTTTCAGTGAAGTGTCTTAGTTCTGAGGGTGATTTGATGTAGTTGTTACCATGGTCATAGGAACGAGACAGGTTAGTTCACCATCCAGCTACCTCTTTGACTAGCTTGCATAAATAGCCTGTGCCTAAGGTCAAAGTCAAGGAGGCTTCAAAAATATCTGCAGAATGCACACTAGATAAGCTATTTCCTAACACACGCTTCAAACCTTCCATTTTAAGTAGCATTTTTTCAGCCAAATTGCCACATAACTGCCCTCAACTGTCCACTTTATTGAACCCATGCAGGGACACAGGTTGCAACAAGGCATGTCTGCCCTTCCCCTTGAGGCCCGTGTGATGATGCTTAAAATGATGCAGTGCCTAATTACAAATGGCTTCTGTGGGCCACCCTCACCCATGGCACTGCTCCCATGTGTCTGCACAGAAGCTGAGGGCCTCTTTTATGGAAAATAATACCTGAATGTGATGTTTTCCTCTTAATTAAACTATCAAAATAATTTCCATTCTACCAAGAATTGTGAAATTGCTAATATGTATTATAGTGACTGGATGTGGTTTCTGTAATTAGGGTGTTTTTCAAATGTGTATTCTGGATACAGAACTGATGGTAATAGCTTCATTTATCATGTCTGAGCTTTGTTAGAACTTTTGAATTCTGGATCATGGGCTCAGTGGGCCATTGCAGTTTTCTGAGTTGTATTATGTTCCATCAGTTTCGTGTGGCCATAGGACTGGAGCATGGAGGAAATGGCCAAATACAGAATCTCCACTGAAGCTGGCCTAAAGTCCAGCCGTGTTCTGTCTATGTTTAAATTTGGTGGCACTGGACATAGATGTTTTTGAAAAGAAATCAGTGTGTAAATATAAACCCAGAAGAAATGATAGTTGTAATGCCAATTCTTTATTGTTGGCTTCGAAAGCATTAATTGGAGGCTAAAAGATAATTGTAAATTATTAATATTCTCATATTTACTATTTTAGCTCCAAAGCATGTATATACACCAGCATAATACTATGTAGCACACATGAATTAATTTCCCCTTTCAAAACATTTCAAAGGCATCTACATTTAAATAATATTAACATATCAAATGGTTTCACTGAAAACCACTACCAAATATGTTCAAAACCTAGATTTTCTTACAAATTATCAATAGAGATGCATGAAAAAATACTTATAAGCATAAGCTGCATTATCAGACCCAGTAATAAGATTTTTCAAGAAAATCAATGATCGATTTCAAAAACAAAAACAAAATTAATCATTCCATTAAGCAGAAAAGGACTCTCTGGGAGATGATCATTTTTTACCAACAATAAGATAAATATCAGAAATAATTTCAGAAATTTTTCCTAAATTGGTCAAGAAAAGATAGCAATTTATTTAATCTATCTTGAGTCACTAAACAATCTAAACTTTGTATTCTCCTTTGATAGTAATTACAAGCAGATATATCAAATGTGACTCTCATTTAGTCTTTGGTTTGTAAGAACAAAAGTTATTATCAGAGCCAATTACTGTTTTACCTACATGGCTGCACAGAAGCAGGGAGCTCAATTTTCATCTCATCAGTGATTTTGTGGTATTTATTTTATTACTATGCCCACAAAGCTATATAAGAAGGAAATAGCTTATGCTATTAAAACTAGGGTTGGAATATAAGAGGCTAAGGTTTCTTCTAGAAGAATATCTGAATTAAAAACACTAGGCAGCATGTAATGCCAGCTCCCCAGACATGGGCAAGCCATAAATGACACACATCTGAGCAGTAGATCCCACACAGAGTAATCAAAATGGAAATGCTTCACAAACAAAGTTGTGAGAGGCTATTTACTAAGTTACAGTACTAGCAGCGGTAGTTGCTCCAAGTGGCGTCTTCTAAAGTGGATATTGCTTAATTCATATTCCCACTGGTTAAAGACGTCTGCTGTTTAATCTCAAAACCAGAGAAAATAAAAATAGTAGAGCAATGCAGTCGCCTTCAGCACTCATTCTCTTTGCCACCTTTTATGAAATGGAAAGAACAACAGACTTGAGCGGGTCGGTCTCAGTTGCACACTTGAAACACTGGTGAGCAACAACCACCTTCAAGGAGTGGCTTGTGAGGCTCAAATGACTCATGTGTGTTAAGCATCTTCTAGATTATCAAGTACTTTTCAGAAGCCAGCGTGAGCGGGGCCAACCAGGGGTTGAAACACTTCAAACATATAAAGCCCCATAAATTCTTAAGAATAGTCCCCTTCCCGCAAAAATATTAATACATTAGCTTAAAATTTGATAAATGAAGGAAGGAATTAAGCATTTATTCTACTTTTTCCTAGAAAACCATTTTTCAGACTCACCAAAGAGTAGCTAAGGAAAAGTTCTTCATAGAAGTTAATAAATGCAAAAAAAGGATAAAATTATAAGATCACATTTTGCAAGCCCCAGTGAAATAATGTACGTAGGTAAATATCAGAGGTTGCTACACCACGGGGTGAAGGGCGGTGAAGGGTTTTCTAGAAGATCAACCAAGGTGGTAAAACCTGGAGTCCTCATCTATTTCAGGACCAATGAAAGAGAAGGAAAACATTGCCTCCTTGTGCGCTGTGGCAGAAAGTCCACAGCACATACGTGCAGCCTGCACGCACCACTGCACAACAGGAAGTGCTCCTGCCCACAAGAATGGAATCTGAGGAAGCTTCTAGAAACCACGACCCATTTACAAGAAACACTGGTGACAGAGGGACATGCAAAATGATACCACAGGATTGCAATCAGCCCAATCCGGACTATGGGAAAACCTATAAGACGAATGGTTTTTTCAACAAAAAACATTTTTTAAATGAGAGAAATTGTTGCAGACAAAATTAGAGACAACTTGTTCATATTCTGATTCAAACAACAGTCCCCAACTTTTTTGGCATCAGGGACAAGTTTCAAGGAAGACAATTTTTCCACAGATGGGGGAGTGATTTGGGAATGACTCAAGTGCATAACATTTATTGTACACTTTATTTTTATTATTGTTACATTGTAATATATAATGAAATAATTATACAACTGGCCATTTAAAAAAAGAGGTGCAGGTGGAAGTGGTAAATAAAATAATGGGTGAGCCACACGCAGAATAAAATAAGTGTCAGATTCTGACTTAAAACCTGCCACCAGATGCAGCTGTACGATTGAAGTATATCAACTCACATGCCATTCACTGATAGGTTTTTGATATGAATCTGCAAGCAATTGATTTGCTATAGTCTCTATGCAGTCAAACCTCACTTGCAACCACTCCCCAGTGCTAGCATCACCACCTCAGATCATCAGGCATTATATTCTCCTAAGGAGCATGCAACCTGGATCCCTCGCGTGCCCTGTTCACAATAGGGTTTGCGCTCCTATGAGAATCTAATGCTGCCGCTGATCTGACAAGAGGCAAAGATCAGGCAGTAATGCCAGCAGTAGGGAGTGGCTGTAAATGCAGATGAAGCTTCATTCACCAGTCACTCCTAACAGGCCGTGTGCAGCCCTATTTCTAACAGGCCGTGGACTGGTAGCAGTTCGTGGCCCAGGGGTTGGGGACCCTTGTGATAGGTGACTTTTCAGCCCTTCCCACACCTCCCCCCGAGTCTCCACTGTCCTTTATGCCATTTTCTATGTCTTTGCAGACCCTTAGTTTAGCTCCCACTTATAAGTAAGAACATATGGCATTTGGTTTTCCATTCTTCACTTTGGATGATGGTCTTCAATTTCATCCAAGTTGCTGCACAAGATATCATTTTGTTCTTTCTTATGGCTGAATAGCATTCCATGGTGTGTGTGTGTGTGTGTGTGTGTGTGTGTGTGTAGGTGTGTATACACACCTAG